TTTTTTTTTTTTTTTTTTTTTTTTTGAGACACTAGACTTTTATCTAAAGTAATTGTTCAATGACGAATATTTATCATTAAAAAATACTGGATCATCCAGTTTTTTATAACGCACATTTTCATCTTGATTTGTACCATGTCACGTGACAATTAATAAGTATAAGTTTACAAATGACAAGTTACGAACGACTATATTTAAATGAAATATAAAAGCTAAACGATCAATGTACGAATAGGCACTATTCTTTTGTAATAAATTATAAATATTATGCTTATCATACCTACAGTTAAATGAACACTTGCTCGCTCGCTAAATTATCCGCAAACGGCGCAACGATTACCCTCGTAGCAAAATAAAATGTTAAACCAAACGTAACAGAGATCGGTAATGCGGGCAATGCCTTCTTGAATATGGCCAACAACAACAGCGTCAAACAAAGCCCCTGAAAGTAGAAGTGTCCACAATAAAATTTTTACTATTTTAATATAACAGAAAAAAATAAAATGAAAGACGGGATACATACGATAAGAATCGCAACGAAACAAGCCAACGTAGTGTTCCAATCACCATAACTGGAAGCTTTCCCAACTAAAACGCTGTAAAATATAAAATCACCGAGACCTAGCTTTACACCTCGCTCTTCTTCGGTAATTGCAACCTGCTGGCCTTGCGATTCACGCGCAACCCGACTGTCTTGTTGCCTTGATCTCTCTGTTAAGGACAAGGTATTTTCACGTACTTCTTGCGCCCGCCTCGCTCCTCGGTCACCTATGTATAATAAAAAAAAAAAAATCACATTAAGTCACAATAACTGAATAGGAAATACACTAGGTTTATTTACTACCATGTGTATCTATCCATTCAGGAGTAAACCCACTCTCTTCTGCATCTCCGGACGCAGGATTATTTTGATTATCTGCTTGATTACGCATGGTATATGTCGTAGTATCACCAGCAGTGGCATCGCTAGTAGTCATCGTTGCAGTCTGTACATAGCCAGCGTAAGTCATTGTGGTTGTATACATAATTGTAGAAGAATAAATCAACGCAGGAAAAATAGACTCATTTCGCTCTTGAGCGGTCTCTACAAGTATTCTTAAAGGTCCCTTTGGCGTTAACACAGCAATCAAATCTAAATGAAGAAACAATAAGAACTTACATTTCATTTGCGATGCGTTTGTACTTTCACAGTGATAAATCTATCTTACCCCAAATGCTGATAACACCTAGTACCACCCATGCTGTCCATTCTGGTAAATATTTGATAAAAACAAGCGCCATTAGAGCAGAGATAAAAATAAGATACGCTTGTTGCAACTGCAAAGGACCTTGCCAATGTATACATATCATTCCAACTACTCCAAAATTCCATAAAACTAAGCCTAGTGTAAACAAATCCATTGGAATGTTATATGCTTTTAATACTTGCCTACAAAAGATATTTTTTACTTTTTAAATTATCAAGACTGTAACATTGTGATTGGTAAAATAGCGATACTCACTCGCAATATAGCATTGAAAACATAGACAACAACAATAAGGAACTTATTATTAACCACCCATGGATTACTTTGTAAAATTTGTATTTGTATAAGACAATAAGTATCACAGTCATGAATACAATGACACTCATGAGTATCAAAGAGTTGGCAACTGCCTGCCAAGCCTTGGTACTTGTATCAGCGCTGTCTTCATGAAACGGAGTGTACACTCTGAAAGCAACAATCGCGTTCAGAAAACAACTGCTGTCTTCTACAGAATGAGATGCGAAAAACTTTAAAGTATACTTACAAGTACATCCCTTTGGTTGTATAGAAATTTATAGAACTAATTGTAGCAACTACAACTAACATACAAAGAGATACAGGCACAAACAATTTAATGACATGCGCTGCCCCATACTTTAATTCCTCTTCCTCTTCTTCTCTATAATTTCTCGATCTACCCTGGCCACTGTTACCCGACGCGCCTCTCCTACCTGAACCTGCATTGTTTGATATACCCGGCGTCTGAACGTGGACCTCAGGAACACCATTTTCAGCCTGCAATTTGTACACATTATACAACAGTGAAAATGCGGATGTGAAGCAAGAATGTAAACTTAAATTTGCAATAACAAGATCACAAGGGAAAAGTACATTTTCTTTGACTTTACGATCGCACAGGTATGTCGTCTTGCGTTTTTCACCTGTGACCTTCAAACGATACTAAGCACAAAGTGAGTAAATACCTCTTCGTTGCTGATACGCGAACGCCTTTTTCGGCCAGTGACCAAGCCCAAGTCGTCCGTGCGAGACTCCGCGACGTGACCGTCCATCAGGCTTGTGTATTCGTCCGCCGAGTCGTAAGTATCACTCTCAGACATTCATCAACGCTTGTCGCTAAGAACGAATTGACATAAGTACCATCTAATAGTTCTCGCATACGCCTCTTTTTTTATAGTTCCGCGCTCTGTTTCAAGTCCCGTCACATAATAACGATCTGTACTGACTACATTTGAGGGGCTTCGTCGATAGAAAAATACTCAATTAACATCTACGCGTCTGAACAGCTGCTCATGGGTGATAACTGTTGCAAAACACAACATAAGGTGAATCTTCCTAAAAAACGAAACGCCTTTGGCAATTTTTGTCACTTCACGAACAAAACTCTATGTCTGATGGCAGCCATCTTACGAATGATTCACTAATCCGTCATCTATCGTCAAGTATGTGGAACTAAAAAGAGCGTGATTTCAAAATTCAAATTCTTCCGTGATCTCGGTGTCACTTAAGGCAAATTGAATCTAACAAGCTCGAGATTGAGTGACGAGCAAAACTGAACGCACACGTGGAATTTCAACGTAAGCAATATTTACCCTCCCCCCCAAAAAAAAATTTTACAATCGCGTTACCATCAGCAGTTTGATAAATATAAACTGTTCTCAATTTTGCGCCGAAGTTAATTTAAACAAAACATCATCGATACTTTAGATAGTTATAACTTGGTAAAAAAAAAAATCATATAGTGATCGCATAGACTTAATCTTATCTTAAAGTGTGAAACTTCTATTTTTTTTTT